TGGGGCACACACAGTCCCCTCTTGTCCTACATAAGTGTTACACCTTTTTTAGTTCTGCTGGCAAGCCTCCTGTTCAGAGGCATCGAGCTCAGGTCTGTTGTAAGAAGACCTGTGCACAGAATCCTCTAAAATAACCCCTAAACAGGGCACAGTCAGGACACTGCCCTACCTGAGGAAGCAGTATAGCTCTTTTAGCTCTGCTGTCAAGCCTTTTGCCCAAAGGTGCTTGGTTCTTGCTTCATGGGCCAGGCAGGCTCACCGACCACTATCTTTTGCCACCTTCAACATTCATTCTTTCTTCTGGGTCTTGGAGGTTCTCTGCACAGGAATTCTGTGTCTTTGGTCCAAAGGACATATCTGTTCCAGACTATTCTTAGTAGTAGTGAAGTCCCCTTCATCCTCTGAGGGACTGAATTTTTAAGCCTAGCAGAATGGCAAAAATGACTAATACCCTCAGTGGGCCATAGGCACCATTTTTGCATAGTCATTGCCTAATCCCTGCAAGAATTTTATGAACTTTATTTACATAGTCCCAGCCAATTATTGTTTAGGAGTTACAAGACCATGGCTAGAAAGGCTATATGAAATCAATTTACTGCACCACAGAAACTTACTCAAAAACCTATACTAAAAACTAGGATATTTTACTCTGAAGCCTAATATCTAAAATTGTACAAAATAGTACTTTTGGGGGGATAAACCCTTATCTTTCTCCTAGCCATACTACTCTGCTTCAGCAGTATGCTTTGGGCCATTCCAGTGCATCTTCAACATGACTGTTCATCAACACACCATTACTGTACAAGCTTTCAGAAAAATGCACATAACAAGTAGCAATCCACCCTTCATTCAAAGTGTAGAATGCCAAACCCAATCTCAATGAACTGCATCACCATCTATACTATGCCATCCATATTGTTAGCTGCAGGAGCCAAAAATAGGGGCCTCTCTCAGTGCTTCCCTCTCCCTTATTACCTCTGCTACATATCATCTAATAATTTACACATCCTTCAATTAAACCTCTTCACTATTTTCTTAATGTGTCCCTTCTCATTATTTCCATTGCCACAACCCATCTTTGCACAATACTCTCCTAAGTCACAAGACTTCATTTCTACTCTTGTTCTCCATTCTCCACGATGCATTAGGTGACTTTCATAGAGTTCAATCGTGGTATTCTACTATTTAAAAACATGATAGTGGTTGGCCTGTGGTTCTCAGAACATACGGAGCTCTTTACCCTCCAGAATGGCACACATACAGGTCCCAGGAAACAACTGCATCCTCTTGCACCATTCTTCCCTCTACAATTCCCCTGGTCAGCTTAAGCAGGTTCTCTGGGACACACTCATGTTTCACCCCCTCTAGGTAGCCTGTGTTAGGCACCTGTGGTGCAGTAAATTACCCAGTATGGCTTTTCTAGCCATTAGCCTTTGTAAACTCCATGGTGAAGTTTGCCATGAGCAACTGAGGAGCTCCTGATTGTTAAAGTTATCCACCTGGGGTATTTCTGTTGAGAGTGGCACAAAGCAATGCTCTGGGAAGTTCGCTTTCTCTCAGGGGCTTAGAATTCTGATGTTATGATTGGTTAGTTTAGCCACTCTGCCAGTCTCAAAAGGAGGCCTCCTAGAGACAGAAGTCTCTCTGACTGCTGGCTCAGAAAGACCTGTTGCTGAGAGAAATGCACTCTTGAGAGACACGTGCTACTGAGAAAGAGACACCAAGAGACACACACTGCTGGGAGACTGTTGGCTTAGAGACAGTGGGCTGAGACTGAGCATACAATTTGAATTGTAGCCTGGTGCTTCCCTAATAAACCCCATAATCTGTGAGTTCTGTGTGGCCACTGCAGTGAATTATCGAACCCAGTAGAGAATTGGTAGGTGTTGTGGAACAGTTGGTGCAAGGGCTGGAGGGAGGCAGCATGTCTGGCCTCACAGGAATAGGCCTTGGGCTACTGAAGGTGATTCTGTCTTCCTCTTGTGCGGTTAGAGAAGGTCAGAAGATGCAGCCTCCCTGCCCCTTTAGCAGCCCCTATCTGAGGTGCACTCACCACACACCAGATCACTCTTCATCACACTGTATGGGAATTTTTTACTTATGTGCACTGGTGGTTCAATGATGGAATTCTTGCCTCCCATATAGGAGATCTGGGTTTGATTACTAGCCAATGTACCTCGTGCACAGCCATCACCTGTCAGTGTGTCATACAGTGGTGGCTGTGTGTTGCTATGATGCCAGACAGGTTTTAGTTGTGCTTCCAGAGTAAGACATACTAGGAAGAAAAGACTGGTAATCTGATTCTAAAAATCAGCCAATGAAAACCCTATGGATTATATCAGAACATTGTCTAATCCCCAATCAGTCTTGGGGATGGTATAGGATTGGGCAGAATTTTGTTCCATGGTACATGGGATGGCCATGAGTTGAAGCCAACTTGATGACAACTAACAACAATCTTCAGACTGTGACTTCCCTGAATCCTAGGACCCACTTGTCCATACACAGTACTTTGTGTGAATAACTGCTTATTGAATAAATAACAGATAAGAGCCTTGTACATCATAGGTGTCAAAATGCACTCAGCTTCCTCGAGTCCCAACTGTGTGATCTTGACAAAGTTATTTAACTCCTGGACCTCAGATGCAATGTCTATACAATAAAAATAAATGAAATCTATTTGTTATAGGATTTAAACTAAATAATATAATATATGTAAAGTCCTCAGCACCATGCCTGATACATAATATGCACTCAAATGTTGATAATTACTATGACTATGTTCTTCAAGACTCAAGGAGCTCTGATGGTATAGTGGTTAAGGCATTTGGCTGCTAACCAGGAGGTTGGTCTTCTGAACCCACCAGCTGCTCTGTGGAAGAAAGAAGAGGCAGTCTGCTTCTGTAAAGATTTACAGCCTTGGAAACCCAATGGGGGTTGCTATGAGTAGGAATCTACTCAGTAGCAGTGGATTTGTTTGGTTTGTTTGTTTGCTTTTGGTTCTTTAAGACTTAACTGAAATCATTCATCTTTGAGAAAGGCTTCACAGATATTTGCAGGCCACCATGAGGACCTGACTCTTCAGTGCTTCCTGAGTACCTATAGATGGTGTTTCATAATGAATTGTCTTACACTCTTGAAAATATTATTTTAAAATGTTCTGCTGCTTCCATACTTTCTTCAAGATGCCTGATATTTCAGCAACTGCTGTTCAATGAAATAATATTATCAAGATTGTTTTATTCCAGAAATGGTTTCCTTTTTGCCATAGATCTTACTGTCTACTGGATCCTTGAACGTGTTTTGGTTACCTAGTGCTGCTCTAACAGAAAATACCACAAAGGGGTGGCTTCAACAAACAGGTGTTTATTCTCTTAGTTTTAGAGGTTAGAAGTCTGAGTTCAAAGTGCCAGCTCTAAGGGTTGGGTGAAAGCCTCTCAACCTTGGGATTGGTGAAAGCCTCTCAAGCTCTGCCTCTTGCTCCCAGCCCACTGGAGCTGGAGGCATCTCTTCATTCAGGCAGCTGCTGAAGCTAAGAAGCCCAAGGTCAACAAGTAAAATGGCAGAGTCCCAAAATTATCAGGCAACAAGGCAGGTCACTAATTCAAGTCCATTAACAGTTCCAAGATTGGCAGACAACATGGCAGGTCACTGAGATGAAGACTCAGCTACGTACAGGGTCCAACTATGCCAAAAAGCTGCAGAAACCTCTCTCAAAACTTTTCCTTATATATTGGAAGCAGACCATATCCCTAAGGAAGCTACTCAGCTGCTCCAGTAGAGTCTACCATGGAACTGATTACTAATCTCACCATAGGGGATAACTACATTCAGCTGCCCAGCCACTCAAAACCAGGCCCAGCCAAGTTGATACATAACCTTAACTCCCAAACCATGGACATGCATATCACATCTCATAATGACGTGAATGCCATAAACAGAGACTAATATAACCAAAAGGAACACACAGACAAATAGGAGAGGTGAAAGACAGACATGTGGCAATCTCAGAACAGAAATCAGATCTCAGGTCAGGTGCAAGATGAGGGTGTTCTCTGTTACAACAAGCATGGAAAGGTGAATTATGAGATCAAGGTTAAAAAAAATAATCACATATCCTGCTACATAATATGTTGTTGTTGTTATGTGCTGTCGAGTTGGACCCGACTCATAGCGACCCCTCCTTGGGTTTCTGAGGCAGTATCACTACGGAAGTAGATTGCCCCATCTTCCTTCCGAGGAGTGGCTGGTGGATTTGAACCGCCAGCCTACTGGTTAGCAGTCAAGTGCCTTAGGCACATGCTACCAGAGCTCCTGCATATAGCACAGTTATTAAAAATAGATAAGGAGTAATAAAGTGCAAAATAGCATGCAGGAGACCATGTTAAATAAAAAAGATACAGATAATACACTTTTTTTAAAAAAAATCATAATACATAAAATGTGTTTATAAAACTTTTAAGAGGGTAGACAAAAATGTTAAAATTTGTAACAGGGTGATGAGTTTGTGGGTAATCTATTTCCCTTTATCAATTTCCTACACTTTGGTACTGTTGTCATATTGTTTTAAAATGTAAAAATAAAATAAATCTGCATACCTCCCTGGCAGTTGACCCCTGGAAGAAATGAGATAGTGCATGAGACACTCCCTAGGCTGAAAGGAGCTCCAAATGCAGCGGGCCTGACTTAGCAGATGGCGGAGACCCGTGAACCTGGGAGTGGGGTGCGGCGCTTTACAGTTCGACCCCGCCCTTGACCGGTTCTTTTTTTATTGAGGTCACTGCCCGCCTCGCCTAGTGCCCTGCGCCGGCCACTCTTGCTGAGCTAAGCCCTCCTCCCCAATCCCCGACTGATCCCCAGTGATCCGCCTCGTGAAGGTTCTCTTTGGGAGAAAGGAGGAAGTGTGAGACATCTTGACGTCTAAGAGTGCAGGGGCTGGAAATCAAGTGGCCCCCGTGCCCCCCGCCCCTCCTCGTCCTTCTCTCCGCGCCCCCACGTACCTCTTGCAGGGGATGAGCGCCTTCCTTTCGTCCAGCACCCGAACGCGCTGGTTGAGCCCGTCGTAAGAGAGCAGGGCTCGGCTGTTACGGCCGCTGCTTTGCTGGTACAGAACCTGGCGCCCCTCCCATTGCTGCGGCGCCTGGCACGGGTGCAGAGCGCCTGCGTAGCCCCCAGCCCCCGGTGCCGTCACTCCCAACCCGCAGAGGCCTCCCAGCGTCCAGACCCAGAAGACGCACAGCAGCCAGGACGCCTGGGACTTCAGGGCCACGCGGAAGCAAGCGCGCCCTGCCATCGCTGCCGCCGCCCCCCGCGACCCTGTTAGCGTGAGGCCGAGCCCAAGGGGGCGCTGAGGCACTCGGGTGTAGCCTGGCGCTCCGCCCTGTGCTGACTGCACTAGCAGGGAGGGTGGTCTGGGCCAAGTTGCTTCCTGTCCCCTCGGCGGCCTCTGCAGCTGTTGGGATCAGGCTACATGAGGCCCAGAACCAGGACCTGGAGCCTCGAAATCGCTCTGGTGAATCGCGCAGGAGCTATTTCTGCCTTGGCCACTGCCTGCAGCAGCTTCTGTTTTTATTCGCTCTCTGCTGCCAACAGGAAATGCAGTGGCAGTGGTACCACTTGCATTCTGAAGGGCACCGCGTTTTAAAGGGGGACGGGAGTGAGTGCTGAGAAAAGTGGTGTTTCTCCAATAACTCTAGTGTTTAGCAGGTAATCACAGTCTGGGGGAGAATATCAATGTCTAGGTTAGGAAAGCCATACAGCTGCACTTTCTGTGCCCCAAATACCTTTCTCCTTCCTAAAATTGTAGGATTCTTCCTGCAAATTGAAAGTAGAAAGGATCCTTTTCTGAAGAAATAATACTAGTAATTCATTATGGCCACTTCCCAACCCACAATCCCAGTACAGTCTATGGGGGTAGAAGAAGGACAGAGGGCTCAGAGATGTCTTCTCAAGACCATACTTCCAGGGAGACTGTTTCCCTTGCCCATCTCCTGGTAATGATACAGCCAAGAGGTTTGTGTGTCTGGGAGATTAGCATCTTCAAGAACAAAGTAAACGCTGGTGTTATGCTTGTGGTAATGTTAGAATCTGTAGTACTGAATCAAGAAAAAAAAGAATGAAATATAAATGATAATAATAATAAGCCACTTGCTTTCCAAATCTTTTCATTTGAGCTGAGTTTCAGGAATGAGGAAGAAGGAGACAGGTGAAAATGGGAGGAAGAACATTCCCAGATGAAGGATATGAGGGCAAAACAAAATAGGGCCAAGTATCAGGACTCAAGTATGAGGGCAGTGGAAGCTGTTGATCGATTTAGGTCCAGGGAGAAGCTTCATCAGATAAGCTCACTCTGGTGTCAGTGTGGAAAATACTAGGTTATACCAGACAAAAGGCAGGGAGGTGAAGTACGGAGCTGTTGATGTAAACCAGGCAGATACTGGCTATCTGAGTTATCAGGAATAGTGAGCAGGGAGAAGGTGGAATGGAGTTAAAAACAAAGCGGAAGGATTTAGAATCAGAGGGAGAGGGAGGAGTTTCAGGTTTGGGGCACTGGAAAATCAGTCTTGAGTAAGGAAAGAAAATTCATTCAGTATGAAAAACAAACAAACAAATTCACTGCTGTTAAGTAGATTCCGACTCATAGCGACCCCTCCTTGGGTTTCCGAGTCAATATCTCTACGGAAGTAGATTGCCCAGTCTTCCTTCTGAGGAATGGCTGGTGAGTTTTAACCACCAGCCTTCTGGTTAGCAGTCAAATGCCTTAGGCATTACACCACCAGAGTTCCCTCATTCAGTGTGTATGTATATGTATATGTGTGTGTGTGTATATATATATATATATATATATATAAACTCACTGCCATGGAGTTGATTTCAACCCATAGTAACCCCTCCTTGGGTTTCCAAGGCAGGATCTCTACAGAAGTAGACTGCCCAGTCTTCCTTCTGAAGAGTGGCTGATAGGTTTGAACCACCAGCCTTCTGGTTAGCAGTCAAATGTCTTTGACTGTGCTATGCTACCAGAGCTCCTTCATTCAATATATTGTTGTTGTTATGTGCCGTTGTGTCAGACTGACTCATAGCGACCCCTCCTTGAGTTTCCGAGGTGGTATTACTAGGAGCTCTGGCTAGTAGTGAAATGCCTCAGGCACTACGCCATCAGAGTTCCTCAGAGCTCCTTCCTCCAGTATGTTGTTGTTGTTATGTGCAGTCGAGTTGGACCCAACTCATAGTGACCCCTCCTTGGGTTTCTGAGGTGGTATCACTAAGGAAGTAGATTGCCCCATCTTCCTTCCGAGGAGTGGCTGGTGGGTTTGAACTGCCAGCCTTCTGGTTAGCAGTCAAGTGCCTTAGCCACTATGCTACCAGAGCTCCCTCCTCCAGTATGTTGTTGTTGTTGTTGTTATGTGCCATCGAGTCAAACCCGACTCATAGCGACCCCTCCTTGGGTTTCCGAGGCAGTATCACTACGGAAGTAGGATTGCCCAACCTTCCTTCCGAGGAGTGGCTGGTGGGTTTGAACCGCCAGCCGTCTGGTTAGCAGGCAAGTGTCTTAGCCACTATGCTACCAGAGCTCCCTCCTCCAGTATAGGATGTGTTAAATTTGAGATAGGTCCCTAGGTGGCACAAATGATTTGCACTCAGTGAACTGAAAGATGTAGAAGAAGAGACTGATAATTTGCTTCTGTAAAGATTACAGTGAAGAAAACCCTGTGGAGTTCAGTTCCACCATGTAATACGTGAGGTCACCATGAGTTGAAATCAATTCTGTAGTAACTGGTTTGGTTTTTGAGTTTGAGAGAAATATGGGACCCAAATCTACTGCCATCAAGTTGATTCTGACTGATAGTGATCCTATAGGACAGAATAGAACTGCCCCATACGGTTTTTAAGGCTATAAATCTTTACATAAGCAGACTGCTACATCTTCCTCCAGTGGAGCAGCTGGTGGATCTTAACCACTTACCTTTCAGTTAGCAGCCAAACACTTAACTATTACACACCCAGGCCTCCTTAAATGTGAAATAAAACCCACTGCCATTGAGTCGATTCTGACTCACAGCTACTCTATAGGACAAGGCAGAACTGCCCACAGGGTTTCCAAGGTTGTAAATCTTTACTGAAGAAAACTGTCTCATCTTTCTCCTACGGAGTGGCTGGTGGGTTTGAACTGCTGACCTTTTGGTTAGCAGCCAAGCATTTAACCACTGTGCTACCAGGGCTGAAATGTCAGACCAAAACCCACTGCCATCAAGTTGACTCCAACTCTTACAGTCAGGGGGAAATACCTAGGGAACAGTTGGATTACATGTCTGGAAAACAGTTTTTTAAAAGTCAGTGATTCTGTACCAAGAGCAGTTTTGCCTCATGGTGGGCATTTGGCAATATCTGGAGACATTTTTGATTGTCACACCTGGGAGAGAGGGTGCTATTGGCATCTAATTGTCAGAGGCCAGGGATGGTGCTAAATAAACTTCCTACAATGCCTACAATCCACAGAACAGGGTTATCTCCTCCAGCACACACACACACACATACACACAAGAATTATCAGGCCTGAATGTCAATAGTACCAATGTTGGGTTGGAAAAACCTGAAGTAACAGGAAGTGTAGAGAGTAAGAGGAAGGCTGAGGATGGAGCCCTAGAGAATCCCAAACATCCATGTATGAATACAGAAATAGGCCCTTGAGGAGACTGAAAAGGAGAGGCCAGAGAGAAGCTACTGACCAGTAGAACTTCCTCAATTCCTTATGCTTTTGGCAAATGGATAGAGTGCTAAAGCAGAGAAATGTAGAATCATAGCATAGAATGCATAGCATAGAATCATGCATAGAATGCATGAAGGGGTAGGCCAGTTGACAGAGACTCCTAAGGAGTCCCAACCTACTGTTCTCCTCTATAGCTGGTGGTGTAGTGGTTAAGGCATTTCGCTGCTAACTAAAAGGTAGGTTCAAACCCACAAGCTGCTCCATGAAAGAAAGATGAGGCAGCCTGTTTCTGTAAGGTTTTACAACCTTGAGAACCCAATGGGTCTCTATGAGTAGGAATTGACTCAATGGCAGTGAGTATGGCTTTGGTTTAACGGGGTATGCAAAAGCTTTACAAACGCAGTTTCTGAACTTCTCCCAACCCTTCCTTCAAGGGCATGCAATCAGAAAATATCAGGAAGCACATGCAATGTTTTTACTTGGCACTTGCACAACTAAATAAATGTAGCAGATTCAAAGAGGCTGCAGAAGTTTAAGCCCTCTCCAAAGTTACTCTCAACAAGCTTATAGGAAAATGGTGGGTAGTTCAACTCCTTTCCAAAACAGTATTTTTTTTTTCCCTTGTAGGAACTCAGGCTAAAAATATGTTTCATTAAGCTAGGGGTTTAGACTCTTCAGATTTTACTTCTGAAGATGGCTTGAGATGTCATCTAGGCTACCCATTTGTTTGATATTTCACTAGTCTGATTTGGCATCTTTGGAGCTTGTTGTTAGTTGTTGTTGAGTTGATTCTGACTCATGGCAGCCTCCTGTGAGCACAGCAGAACCACTCCATGGGGTTTTCAAGGCTGTGATTTTTCAGCAGATTGGTGGGCCTGCTTCCAACTCACCTCTGGGTGAGTTCTCAAACCGCCAACCTGTCAGCTAGTAGTTGAGTGCTAAACTATTTGCACCACCCAAGGACTCCTGATCTGTGCTATAGAAAACTGGAATACCTCTCTTGATTGGTATAGCTGTGGATGGTCTGGAGTTTCCCTGTTATGTTATGTTATGTGCCGTCGAGTCGGCCCCGACTCATAGTGACCCCTCCATGGGTTTCCGAGGCAGTATCACTACGGAAGTAGATTGCCCCATCTTCCTTCCGAGGAGTGGCTGGTGGGTTTGAGTTTCCCTAAACAGGACCTAATTCCTTGGGTGAATTCTCTTTCCATAAAAAACCAAACTCACTGCCATTGAGTCGATTTGACTCATAGCAACCCCGCCTTGGGTTTCCAAGGCAGTATCTCTATGGAAGTAGATTGCCCAATCTTCCTTCTGAAGAGTGGCTGGTGGATGTGAACCACTAGCCTTCTGGTTAGCAGTCAAATGCCTTAGGCACTATGCCACCAGAGCTCCCAAATCCTCTTTAGGTAGATGCATTTATGTTTTTAGTTTATAATGACACCATGTTTAATTCATGTTCCCTAAAAAGACAAAATAATGCATTTATCATCTTAGCACTATGCTTAAAACCCACTGTTGATTCCAACTTATAATGACCCTACAGGACAGAGGAAAAGTGTCCCATAGGGTTTCCAGGGCCATAAATCTTTATAGAAGCAGACTCCTGAAGAGTGGCTTGTGGGTTCAAACTGCTGACCATCTGGTTAGCAGCCAAATGCTTTAACCACTGCACCACCAGAGCTCCTCTATCACTATGCTTAGCCCATTATAAATGCTCTATAAATGTCAGTTGTTTTGTTGTTTCTTGGACTATTTCAACCCTCAATCTTGGTCAGGGTCAAAACCAAATTAACTGTTGTGGGTCTAAGATTTGGAGAAAAAAATCTTTCTGCCTTAAATTCAGATTTCAAACTTAACTATGTTGTTAAAGATCAAAATTCAGAATGCTTTTATATTGTTGATGCACTAGGAAAATGTCATATGCCAGAAATCTTCCCGTCTGAAGACTGATGTACGCTAGCAACAATAAAGCCTCCTTTACGTGGATAGCTGAGAAGTTGGCTTCCCTCCCTCTTCCTAATCCAAAACCAAACCCACTGGCAACCAGTCAGTTCCAACTCATAGCGACCCTATATCAACCCTAAAGGACAGAGCAGAGCTGACTCATAGGGTTTTCAAGGCTGTAAATCTTTACGGAAGCAGATCGCCACATATTTCTCACCTTGGAGAGGCTGGTGGGTTGAACGGCTGACCTTTTGGTTATCAGCCGAATGCTTTAACCACTGCATAGCCAAGGGCTCTTTTTCGTAAAAGAAATAAGATAAAAGAGAAGACAAAATATACATACTTGCTTTCCATGGTACACAGCTTCTTACTCATTTCAAGTAACAATCTCCAAGCACATCAAAAATCAAGATTCTAGGCTGCTGGATTGAAATTTCTTGGCATGAAGGAGGAAACAAGCTTTCAGATAGTGGTGGTCAAAAGCTTCTTGATTTTCTCCTGGGTTCCATTCATGTTGGAGAGAGGAAAAGGGAGTTAGAAAAGGAAAGGGAAATATTGATAGATAGAAGACATTTCTCTAACTAGAAGATGCTATTGCATTTTTTAGGGAATATTGTTAAACTCCAGGAGCAGATACAAACCAAGTACCATTCTGAAAGAACTCGAGCCAAAATTAAATGTGACTAGCCAAATAACAACAGCAACAAAAAACCCTCCACGCATGAGGCGTGGTGGAGGATGGCTTATATAATGTGTTCCTTATGTTCCAACATTTACTGCACTCTTCCCTGGCTTCCAATATGTCCACTACTCAGTATTTCTGATGCCCTCTACAGGAGAAAGCAAATATGCAGAATTAAAAGGCAGTAGGAGTTGTTGCTCTGAGTCCCAGTCGACTGGATGGCAACAGGTTTGGTTTAGAAGTTGTCGCTTCTTCCACCTCTACTCTTGAAGTTACAGGCAGAGGCGCTAAGTCAGCTCTGACTCAAAAGAGCGTCTTTGTCTCTCTTGAAATCCTTTTTTGCACCCTCTTGGATTCGTCGGCCAAATGACTGCCAGGGACTTTTTTCTTGGTCCCAAGTAAAATGACTGGCCAAACTAAGAAGGAAGGATTTTGAGAGAATGTAAGGTTTCAATCCTGGGCTGGGACCCAGAGGAGATGATGTCACCGCTTTGCAAAGAGAGGGCTGGGGGTGGGGCAGCCGAGGGGGAGCCCGAGCCGCGTCTGCAGCTGCCAAGGGAGCGTTCCGAGTCCACGTCAGGGGAGGTGTCGGGATAAATAGGGTCCTGCAATGGCCGTGGCTGATTGTGCTTCGATCTGCCATGTCCAAGACGGGAACTGCCTAGGCCAGTTTGCGCCCAGGAGGCTGAGGGCTGGCGCTGGTCGTGCTCTGTGCGCCAGAGGGCTGATATCCACCGCCGGATACAGTGGCCCCTCATTGCTGCCCACGGTGGTTTGGGAAGAGAATTTCTCCTGCGCCCCAAAGGACATCCTCTTCAGGGAAGGGTGAGCAAAAGACTAGGGAGACGCGAAGAGAAGGGCCTTTTCTTCCTACCCGGATCGCAGAGCTAGCGAGGAGTGCCATGCTTCTCTCAGTTCTGGCCGCGTTTTGCCTGTGGCTGCGCCTGGCGCTGGGCGTGCGCGGCGCGCCCTGCGAGGCGGTGCGCATCCCCATGTGCAGGCACATGCCCTGGAACCTCACGCGGATGCCAAACCACCTGCACCACAGCACGCAGGAGAACGCTATCCTAGCCATCGAGCAGTACGAAGAGCTGGTGGACGTGAACTGCAGCGCTGTGCTGCGCTTCTTTCTCTGCGCCATGTACGCACCCATCTGCACCCTGGAGTTTCTGCATGATCCCATCAAACCGTGCAAGTCGGTGTGCCAACGCGCGCGCGACGACTGCGAGCCCCTCATGAAGATGTACAACCACAGCTGGCCCGAAAGCCTGGCCTGCGATGAACTGCCGGTCTATGACCGCGGTGTATGCATCTCACCAGAGGCCATCGTCACTGAACTCCCAGAGGGTGAGGCTGGGTAGGGAGGGGGGGAACCAAGGAGGCAACCCTGGCTGTCCTGGCCACAGGCCACGTGAATACCTGCCAGCACCGCCTACAGCTGCCAGAGGGTGGTCAAGTCCCACTTGCCAGGGTGAAGGAGGTGGCAGGAGGTGGAGATTTTGCTTCTAAAAGAGCCTGGTTTCCCCAAAGTAATTGGGGAAGCTGGGGTAGAGGAACAAGCCCCATAAAGGGGAGGGGGAAAGGTTTGCATTGGAGACGTTTTCATTTACAGTAATAACATAAATAATATAAAAAATAGCCACAACAAATGTTGTATTTAGTACTTACTATGTATCGCCTGAGTTAAGCACTTTACATGTATTAAACTTATTTAACCACAAAGCAGGTGCTACTTCAAAGTTCTGAAAAGACGGTAAACATTTTTCCTCCCCCACCAGAAGTGCTATTTGTAAATTTATTATTAAATTGTGATGTTTATGCCACAGTCCTGGGTCAAGAGGTAACATCTGTGACATTTTATTTAACCTACTCTCAGCTTCCACTGATGTCTTTTCTCTTTGGTCATTTTGATGTTTCTTGAAGTGGAAAAAAGAGTCGATTTAAGTCCATTCTTGAAACTGTTTCTCTTTCTTTCTCTCACTGCCTTGGAGTCAAATCTGACTCATCGCAACTCCTCCTTGGGTTTCAACCTAAAAATAATTTTGCATTCATTTATCTAGGCTTTCCCTGATCCAGGTTACCCCACATTTAAAGAGATTATGGTGTTCCTTTAGTGTAGTTTCTGAAGTTAGACCTCAGAGCAATGTCCAAAATATGAAGGAAGGTGGCAATTAAGAGAAGGGGAAAATTGAAACTCCTCTCTAACTCAAGAGTTTTCGAGAAAAGAAAAATAATATTGCTTTAAGTATGTAAGTGATAGAGCCTGTTTCTCTGCTGCAAAATGTGAGAGGGGCATTTATTTTGGTTGCTGTAAACTGTCAACTTGGAAAACCAACATTTAAAAATGAATTTGGAGAGGGAGTGACTGGAATTATCCAATATGGCTGTCTGTATCAGCCAGGATAAATGGATATGTGGTCATTTCAACTTACACTGACTAGGCAGACACTTACCCAAAAGTCATCTGTTCTAAGCCCACGGAGCCCAGGGATGTCTATATGAAATAAGGAGTCAATGATCACATGACATTTTTACTATTTAGTACTACTCTGTGTTAGGTTTATGTCTTCAGATTGTTCCCTACTGCAGTTGGGTTAACAGCCAAACCACTGACCAAACCCATGTGGTCCTGTGTGTGTTTCAGATGTGAAGTGGATAGACATCACCTCAGACATGATGGTACAAGAAAGGCCTCTTGACATTGACTGTAAACACCTAAGCCCTGGTAAGTTCTTACTTCCTCAAAATTCTCTGTCTCCCCGAAGTGATTGCTATACCCTTTTTAACATTTTTGTCTCTCCTGTGTCTTCTTTAGATAGGTGCAAGTGTAAAAAAGTAAAACCAACTCTGGCCACGTATCTGAGTAAAAACTACAGCTATGGTAAGTCATTTGATGACGCTATTTACTTTTAAGACTTGGCTCCTTGGTAGCTGGAGTCACAATAGGGTTGCCCCTGCTAAAGGCAGGTCTACCAGCCACAAAGTGAAAGCAGAATGTTGGAGATTTTTCAGGTTAACAATGGGGGTTCTAGATGGCACAATAATAATAGTTGTAAACCTTATTTCTCTCTTTTTCTGAGTAAGTCAAGAAAAAATACAGTAAATTACCCAAGTGAGCACAGTTACTTGGATCAGATTGAAAGTTTGACATCATGATCCTAGTTGCCTTGGTGAGCAGGCCCTGCTTAACTGGGATGGAGGACCCCACTTAACTCTCTCATTGGTTTCATTGCTGCAGGTAGAAAGGAAGATGAGGGCCATTGAACAACTGGACAGTGGATGTGATTGTCTGAGTCCCAGATAATTAAGACCTTTCTGTGTATTTTGTTTTTACTTAAAAGCAGCTACAAGTATTTGACATCTGAAAGATATTGTGGGGAAATACATTAGTTATGAAACCCTATGATTACAGTACTGCCATAGATTAATTGCCCCTTTCTCTTTTATTTGAACTAATCATTCAGCTCATTCTTCAAAGACTAAGTCAATCATGGTGCTTTAAATGCTTTTTTAAAATACGTAATTCCATTACCATGCAAAGATAAATTTAACTAAAACTATATTCTTTGTATTTTCACTGCCACTCTTAAATTATATCTGTTGAAATATGAGAAAATGGTTTGGGGAAAATATTCATTTTATTTGCTAATTTGGTTTTCCATATTTCACACTGCCATGTTACATCAATAAGGAACATTAGATTATATATCACGCATGAAAGTAGGACAGTTATAAAATCTGAAAAAAATTTCTTATGTAGACTGTCAAATTTGAACATTTTAGCTAATGTAGGTTATTCAAGCAAAATAAAAATGTGCTTTTTTTTTGCATTTTTAAAAAACTTGTTCTATTTATTAGCCTTTTGTATTTAGATATCTTAATCTGATCTACTTAGTTCCTCCTCTACCAAGATCCAGTCTTGGTTACTTATCAATTTTACTGTCATGCCATTTCTTGGGGTGTCATTGACTCAGAATGACCTTCTCAGTGAAATTCCTCGGCTCCTTCATAAACCAGCTTCCTATGATGGAATTCAAGACAGACCCATATTAGGTTGATTCTAACTCCATGGGAGGGAGTAATACCAATGGGCCAAAGAAGTCAGAATTTAAAGAGTGCTTGGAAGCAGTGATACTGTAATAACAGTTCTAACCTCTATGGTCTCACTTTGAACGTGTGAAATTAAAGGATTGAACTCTATAATCCCCAAACATTCCTTTCTATTAAAAAATGTTGACTCTAAAAAAAAAGAAAAACAAAATTAACCCATTGCCATAGAGTCAATTCTGACTCTATGGAAGGACTTACATTTTAACATATGATTGTGTGTGTGGGCTTTTTTGCCTTCATCTGGGCAGTTTGGACATGACCATAATTATAGGAGTGATTCTTTTAGAGAGGCTCAGAAGCAGATGTGAATTCACCATCTCTAGATTTTCTCCAAAGGCTTCAACAACGTCTATGTTGATTTTTAAATTGCAGTTATTCGTGCCAAAATAAAAGCCGTACAGAGGAGTGGCTGCAGTGAAGTCACTACAGTGGTGGATGTGAAAGAGACCTTCAAGTCCTCATTACCCATCCCTCGAAATCAAGTACTGCTCATTACCAATTCCTCTTGCCAGTGTCCACACATTCCACCCCATCAAGATGTTCTCATCATGTGTTATGAGTGGCGCTCAAGGTAGGCATTCTGCACACTGTTTATGAAAATGAATCACACTTAGCATTAATGATTTAAAATACAGTGACAACATTTCCTTAAAAAAAAAGAGTTTAGTAGATGTTTCTGAAGGGATATCATATATCCTAAATATCATTTATTTCCTTACATTGTTATAAGTTGCCATCAGTTGTTTGAGTCATGGCCACTCATGTGTTGCAGAATGGAACTTTGACCTTTTGAAAGCAAATTACCAGTCCTGACTAATAAGGCACCTCCAAGTGGGTTCAAACCACTGACCTTTTGGCTAGTAGTCAAACACTTAGCCATTTGTACCATCCAGGTGCTCCATTTGCCCATAAAATTAAGGATAAATAAAAATACGAGTATTTGAGTGAAAACTGAGAATCAGTCTTAGAAGTTATGTGATTTTGAAAACTTGCTTATCTTCTCCTTCCTTACTGGCTATCATTTTATCTGATGTTTTGCATTTATCACAAGGGGCGCCTTGGATGGTCTGGAACCCCAGAGATGGCTCTGTGGGGGCCTCGGGCTTCCACCATGGGCCATCCTCCTTGGGCCACCTCTAACAATATACTGGAGGCCCCAGTGATGACCAGGCCACTTGATGAACAGCAGGTGACTGGCATAGAATGCTTTCTCCCATTCTTCCATGCATCTTCAATCCAGCAATGGAGGGAATGAGGTTATAGGGGGATAGCATTAAGTCATCCAAGGCAGATAAGAGGGGGCTAGACAAGGGCCTAAAGGAGCCAGGGAGATGGGTTGGGGGAGATGGGAAAAGGAGAGAGGGAAGGTAGCCTTGCAGGGCTGTGGGGCTGGGTAGACTGAGGACAAGGGAAGACATCTCCTAGGGCAGTAGCAGGAGGTGGCAAGTGGAGGACAAGTGAGGTCCTGGCACAGAGTGGGCAGCATGAAACTGTGGACAAGACTGACCACCACCACCACCACCCTCACCCCCCCAACCTTCTGTGGACTCTTTAGTGCTAGGAAAGGTGTGGCAGGGAAGGGAGGGCCTTGCAGCACCACATGTATCCCCAGATGCACCAAGGTCACCAGACAAAGTGGTGAGAGAGGAGGGGGAACATTGGGGTTCATCCCCCCACTGACTCTAGCATTACACAGATTTCATGTAACTACCTGGTCTTTGTAACCTAACCATGTCAGTAAGTGAGGAGTAGATCTATGCAGGTAAATTGCTTTGAGTAAAAGCAATTCCATTCAAAGCAATCTTAATATGACAAATACTGGGTTTTTTTTTTCCTCTTTCTTTCTGTTTTTTAAGGCCTCTCTCTTTAATAGAGGTGTCTGAGTGGTGCAAAGTATTTTCAATTCAACTACTAACAGAAACACTGGTGGTTTGAATTCACCCAGTGGTTTTGGGTTCCACTCAGTGGTGCTGGTAAAAAAAGACCTGGTGATCTACTTGGGTAAGATTATAGCCACTGAAAACCTTATGGGGTACAGCTCTACTCTCACACACATGGGGTAGCCATTAGTTACAAACAATTTGATGGTTTAATTTCTACACTAATAACTTAAAACATCAAGTGAGGATGGTCACTTGAGATTACAGTTTCTCCCATTTTTCTTCTATACACTTATTTGTTTGCTAGTGCATCACACACACTTAACTCATACGCAGAGCTACTCACACACACATATACACACATCTCTAGTTGAGAGTGTTTGTCTCCCCACATCTCTGGAATCGTTTTACATATCTATATATTCCTTAAAGATAAAAATCAAAATGTGTCCAGATTCCAGGATGAGTCCTGTTAACTTGCTGCAATACGCTTCTCCAGCTGTGTTACTCATTTTTATATAACGAGTAGTCCTTCCATTGATTTTTTGGTACTAATGTTCATCTATTTCTTCTTGATATAGTTTAAGACTATTCTTCAAAATAAAAATAAAAAAGCATTCTGAAAATGACTTCACTTGAATAATTTCTTATTCTATATACTATCAGTACTTGATCTAATCTTCTATCTTCTCTCTGGAAAGAAGCAGTCACTGTCTCTGGGATGGTCTCTTATTTGTATCTACTGACGTACTCGTTACAGTTCTGGAGATGTTCCAGGCAATTAGTCATTAAATTCTATTTGGACAGATGAATGGATTATAAATAAACTAGCAACTTTCTTGCCATCTTTCCCAAATTAGCATAGAGATATAATGAATTCTGATCACAATCCCAGTAAAGAAATTATTTGATTGAGTTATGCCTTACAAGTGATACTGATTATTTGGAAGAAGAAACAAATATGGAATATTACTTATTTTAAAAATAAGAAAGATGAGAGGAAATATGCCCTATGAGACATACAAAACTGATTTAAAGCTACAGTTGTTAAAAACATATGGTGCAAGAATACATGTAGATAAATAAAGCAGGAAAATTTCTTGAACTGGATTCTAATGTGTGTAAGAATTTATTATATTTTATTATATTAATAAATGGTGGTGGAAACATTTTTATTTGGAAAAATAGTGCATATTTTCAGATTAAATTGTAATATAATATAAATTTTAAATAGATTCAAAGATAAATATTTATAAACATCATCAAAAAGATATAATTAGATGAAAAAACATGTGATATGTGAATAGCGTAAGGAGCTCTGGTGGTGTGGTGCCTAAGTTATTTGACTGCTAACCAGAAGGTTGGCAGTTCGGCAGTTCAAACCCACCACCTGCTCTGTGGAAGGAAGATGGAGCAATTTACTTCCCTAAGATTTACCAGCTGGGAAACCCAAAAGAGGTCGCTATTAGTTGGAATCAACTCGATGGCAGTGTTTTTTTTTTTTTTTTTTAATGTGACTAGCAACGTTCATTAGGAGCTCTGGTAGCATAGTGCCTAAGGCTCTTGACTGCTAACCAGAAAGCTGGCAGTTCAAACCCACCAGCCACTCCTCGGAAGGAAGGTTGGGCAATCCTACTTCTGTAGTGATAGTGCCTCGGAAATCCAAGGAGGGGTCGCTATGAGTCGGGGCTGACTCAACGGCACATAACAACAACAACAACAGCAACATTCGTTACGTAAAAGTAATGCAACAATTTATAAGAGAAAGGATGTGTATATATATTTGACCACATAACATTTTATACATAAATATCCAAATAAAATTTGGAAAAAAAAATACCGGCAACAGTATGACAAAGGAATAATAACCTTATTCTGTAAGGAGTCCATACAGATTAATATTTAAAACATTAAGAGCTCCCATTAAGGCCATAGAAGAATATATACATAAATCTATACAGATGAATTCCAGGAGAAGAAATACAAAGAAATACAGATAATAAATAAACATTAAAAAAAAGATCTTAGTATTCATATCTAAATAAAAAATAGATTCCATTTTTAACTAATTCTTTTTTTTCTCTGCATATAAACTTTCTCTTGCCTGTTTACAGTAGCGTTCTCATACAGTATTTCTCCTTTTTTATTGACTAATTTCACTTAGCACGATGTCCTCTAGGATCTTCCATGTTATGAGGTATTTCACAGGTTCATCATTATTCTATAATGTGTAGTATTCCATTGTATGTATGTACCATAGTTTGTTTATCCATTCATCTGTTGAAGGGCACTTCACAAATTGGGTAAAAGTTCAAACATTTTAAAAACTATTTGGCCCTAGTCCATGAAAATCTTTTATTTATTTATTTATTTTTCTTTTAAAGAATACATACACTTTGACCTGGTAATTCTACTTTCAGAAATCTGTTCTAAAGAAATAATAAGACAGTGCATGCAAGCATATTCAATACAGCACTGGTAATAATAACTAAAGGAAAGACAATGTTTCAACATTATAGAAATGGGAAAATATATTATGGATCTGCATAGTTGTATTTTTGTTATGTCAGAATAATATAATGATAAAACATAAATTATTATCTAATTGTACAGCATAATGTAAAAATATATATAGGTACAAAAAAAATGAAAGAAAATACCGCTAAAATATAGATGGTATTTATCTGGATTATGGGATTAAGGGTTATTGTTCCTTTTTTTTTAAATAATTTTCACAGTGAAATGCATTAGTTCTGATTTTTAAATGTTTTACTTTTGTAATCAGAAGATGCCTCTTAGTATTAATTACCCCTCACCTTTTTTTTTCTCTTAAGGATGATGCTTCTTGAGAATTGCTTAGTTGAAAAATGGAGAGATCAACTTAGTAAAAGATCCATAGTAAGTATAATTAGCAACACTAAAAATGTGGGCTTAAGTGCATGTAAATTCTATAAAATTTGGGGGTTCTTCACATTTTCTCATCTCCAAGCTATCAAAAAAAACAAACCCAGGACTCACAGCCATCAAGTAAATTCCAACTCATAGTGACCACCATTGGGTTTCTGAGGCTACTAAATATTTATGGAAGCAGACTACCCCATCTTTCTTCCAGGAAGTGGCTGGTGGGTTTGAACCACTGACCTTTTGGTTAGCAACCAAATGCCTTAACCTCTACACCACCAGAGCTCTAGCAATAAGCAATGACAAAAGTATTTGACTTTTGATTAGGTAATTAAAAAGAGTATAGCTTTTCTCACTTGGAATTTTTTTTTTAAATCATAGTTCTATCATTCAATTTCAGATGTGATCTGGCTGAGTTCAGTAAAGATCTACTGCTTGTTTCAAGATTAAATTAGATTTTTGTTTTCATTATTATGAACATCTCACTTTCATATATAATAGATACTTGAGCAGAATTAATATACATTGAAATAAAAACAGACATATTTTTAGGGATGCAGATACCCACTTTATAACCCATACCATCATTATACATAAAATAATCTTCCAATGTATTTAAAATAATTTTAAGACTTTTGTCAAAATAAATCATACACAAAAAGTAATTCTCTTATGGCCGAATCCATGATTTTAGTGGTAACATTATAGAAATATTTATAATTTAGAATAATTTTTTTCCAGAGATACAAAATCATTACAGAGCTAAAGAAATCAGGTCATGTGCTTGAAATTTTAAAAGGACTTCCTCTTCATAAAGTATGTTTAGTTATATTCAAGAGAATTTGTGTTTTCAAACTCACAAAAGGTACTGCTACTGCCTGAGCTCTGGTGGCATAGTACCTAAGGCATTTGACTGCTAATCAGAAGGCTGGCAGTTCAAACCCACCAGCCACTCCTCAGAAGGAAGGTTGGGCAATCTACTTCTGTAGCGATACCACCTCGGATACCCAAGGAGGGGTCCCTATGAGTAGGATACGACTCCATGGCAGTGCGTTTGTTTTTTGTTTTTTGTACTCTCTTAGCTTGCATCAAGAAAAAATTCTTAGATGCAGGGAATTGTTGTTAATTGCTTCCTAGTCAGCTCCAGCTCATGGTGACTCCATGTGTAACAGAACAAAACATTGTCCAGTTCTTCCCCATCTTCATGATTGTTGATATCCTCAAGTCCATTGTTGCAGACAATGTGTATTTTGAGATCCTCCACAACCTACAGGGCTAATCTTCTAGAACTGCATCAGACAGTATTCTACTGTGATGCATAGGGTTCTTATTGGCTAATTTTTGGAAATAGATTTCCAGGCCTTTCTTTTTAGTCTTTTCTTGGTCTGGAAGTGCCATTGAGATTTGTCCATTATGGGTGACCTTGCTGGTATTTGAAATATCAGTGTCATAGCTCCCAGCATCATAACAACATGCAAGCACCATAGTATAACAAAATGACATGCAAGTCATATGTGGTGGGAATATTCAATGCAAGACAGCTGTTATTATTATGATTAATTTATTGCAGTTGAATGATTTCATTAATTCTGATAACACATTAGCTGCATAAAGGAGTAAGATGTATTTGACAGCCACATTTATATATTATCTTCCAGCAGTGGGAAGAAAGGCTGCAGGAACATCAGAGAGTAATTCAGGAACAGCGGAGAACAACTCAGGAACAGCGGAGAACAATTCAGGACAAGAAGCGAACAGCTGGACGCACCAGTCGCAGTAACCCACCAAAACCAAAGGGAAAGACACCTGCTCCCAAATCAACCAGCACCAAGAAGAACATTAATGCCAGGAGTGCCCAAAAGAGGACAAATGCTAAAAAAGTGTGAGCTGAGTTCTTTTCCAGGATGGAGACTTCCTTAAAGGATGAGGCCAGACACTGCTTGAGATAGCCTGTTAAGGCCACCCATCCTTTGCCTTAAAAACACTACTCTTCATAGACATTTCTTGCAGCATTTTTCTGAATGATATGCTTCCATTTTTCTTTTTAAGCCACCACAAGCCATAGAGATAGGTTAGCACTTTGGTATGGCAGGTGGATTAAAGCTGGTTGAAAAAGTTCATTCAGAGTGGCATGTGTGCATACTCTGTGAATTTCCACGTGGGGAAAATGTGCTTTCGTTCTCACAATTTGACTTAATATGTGCATTGTAAAATAAATACCCTATTTCAAGCAAAATATCTTTTTTTTTTTTTTTACAATATGTTTTATTTTAGGCTGACTTCTGTTGCTAGAATGTTAGCAATATTTTAAAAATATGATTGAAAATGTGATGCTTGTAAGAAAAAAACAAGAGGAATGAATGTTTAAAAGATCTACGTGTATTTACTGCCATTAGAAGGATTTTTGTGATGCAAGGGGATTTTTGAAAAACCTAGAAAAGTAGGATGTGGAAAAATTGTAATGTGTTTTGACAAAGAAGACTTTCTGCTCTGCTTTTAGCTAGAAACCCTGAAGACTAAAATAATAATAATAATAAATAAAAAGGAGAGGCAGACAGACAATGTCTGGATTCTTGTCATCTAGGTACCATGTCACAGTGAAGATGCTCATATGTAAAAGGTTGTTCATGATGCTTCTTGTCAGTACCCTTTAAGCAGCACTATTTTTTTTTTTTTTATTGTGATTTGGGTGAAGATTTACATAGCAAATTCACTTTCCATACAGCAGTTCACATATACTTTGT